GAGAGTGTGAATCTGCCTGGAAACATTAAGCTTGTCAAACAACTTGAAGCTCCACAGGTACTTTTTCTCAGCTGCGTTAAGCTTATATTCATATGCTTATATAAGATATGTGGACAGTGTGTGGTAGATTGTATTTATACACTAAGGCAATGGACTGTGCTGAACTGTAGTAGTGAGGGAGGGAGAAAATAAGGCTCAGGCAGAAAAAAACTGAGAGCATGAGGGCAAACAAGGTGTGGTGTTCTCTGATGGAACTCTCCATAGCTATTTTAAGGGAGAGAGACCATGAAAAAGAGGATATACATTTCACTCAGCTGAAAGCCTGGTGTGATGTCTTGTCAGTTTCCTCATCTCACTTCACACACTGTCCTAACGTACAAAAAAAAAAAAAAAATTACTCTCAGCCAACTGGCAAATAAATGTGTTTGCTGTTTGGGGTAATCAAACTATATCTCCATACCCCTTGCCCTTGGCCAATTTCTTATAAAGCAGACATTTTTCATGATTTTAGCTGACTAATTCCTCCTGGTATTTCTGCCTGACAGTCCTCGATCCATGCCTAAGAGGTTGGATCCACTTCCTACCCTAGACTAAGATTCTACCCATTATTATTTGACCTCTTTTGAAAAACTCATTGCCAGCTTTATAACCTGATCTGGGCATACTCCCCATTGGGGCCTGCATTTCCTGTGGGTGATGCATTGGTTTCCTAGGTGACGGCAGGAAGGAACAGACCTGTTAGCTTGTGGCTTCTGACTCACTCACTGCAATGGACGTCACAGAATCGTGGCTGAACAAGTGGATGCTGATAAAACATGTGCTTAAGCGGGGCACTGGTGGTTAAAAACCATCCCATTGTACCAGCTCTCCCTCCCACTAAGCAAGCCGACAGACTGACATAAATACCAGATGTGAAAAAACAGTCAACAGATTTGGAACCTCTCTGAACTCCCAGTCCTATAGAAGTGCACAGTGGAGACCTATTTACAACCCCAATGTTTTGTTCCTTTCCCTGTTTAGAATTTCCTCTTCTTTTCTGGAATGTGTAAGTACCAGGATTCTCTAATGAAATGTCTGATGGAGGCTGAAGAGGGGGAGGTGGAGACAAGCCAAAAAGTCACCAGAAGCCTGTTTACTAAGGTGACATCTCCTTTTGATCTTTCACATTTGTTCCCTGAGAGGGGAAGTAAACTCACAATGAACTAACAAATTATCAGAGTCCAGAATAAAAAACACGTTTTGTTGGGCAAATTTCATGAAGCCTAGAGACAAGGAGAGACACGCATGCGCATGCACACAGACACACACGCACACACATACAGAGATTAACTTTCTAGTTACCTCTTTTGCTATCAACTGATCCCAGCAACGTACAAGTCAAAGAAGACTGCCTGGGATAAAAAACACAAAGAGCTCCTTTGTCCTTCACAACCGAACTACTGAAGACTGAATGGATTCTTTCGATTCTTGAATTCCTTAAATGACCAACAAACCTAAAGTTTCCCTACCTGGAATAATGCCTCTTGTTTTCCATGGAGCCTTGAGGGATGCTTTAAATAGCATCAGCAAGCATCCGAATGAATTAAGACAGCAAATGTAGGTTAGCTTTATTTAGACAGATAAAGACAAGCAGAGAAAGTCGTCTGGTTCAAGGGCAGTGCAGCCTGACAGGACAGCATTTCTCAGAGGAGGGGAAATTGCTTTCGGAGAGAGATATTTCGGGCAAAGAGCAAAGTTCCTTGGATCACCATGGGAAGTGATGCTAAATTCTTCCATACAGAGGAAAAGGAATTAAGAATGGCTTGCCACTTGTTGAAGGAAAGATCTATGGATTTAAAATGTAAAACAGAACTTGGCATCCTCTTCTCTCTTTCCCATTCCTTAGGCAGACCATCAGAAAGGACATGTTTCCCAGAACATAAGCTGGGGTAGGGAGTTTATGAGACTACTTCAGATGGGGATTTGAGAGCCTCAGCAAGTTCTGAGTCAGAAAATGCATCCAGTTGGAGGGGTCCCTGGAGATGTGGAAGCCCAGAAAGCAGGGAAACTGTCAGATATGGAGGCATTCACTTACTAAACAAAAATGTAGATGCCTGGAAAAAAGTTGCAGTCAATGGCCATTATCTTGTAATAACTTTTAAAGGAGTATAATCTGTACACTGAATCATAATGCAGTATACCTGAAACTAATATAATATTGTAAATCAACTATACTTCACTTAAAAAAAAGTTGCAGTCAGTGAGTTTTGTTTATTTTATTTTATTCTTCCTTTGCCCACAACCCTTAGATTATTTCCTGAAAATAAACTCCTTATGGAAAGAAGTGGGTCTAGAAAAAAATATAAGCTTCTGTGATGTTTATGGTTTCTTCACTTTCTAAATATTTGCTGGTTTCTTCTCAACTGAAAAAGCCAAATGAGGGACTTCCCTGGTAGTCCAGTGGTTGGGAATTTGCCTTCCAATGCGGGGTGGGGGGTGTGTGGGTTCCATCCCTGGTCGGGGAGCTCAGATCCCACATGCCTTGAAGCCAAAAAAAAAAAAAAATCCTAAAAGCGTAAGACAGAAGCAATATTGCTTTGTGAATAAACCAATTTATACATAATACATTATTATGTTCCTAAAGTAACACTGAATTTAGACTTGTAAAAAAAATTCAGAAAATCTAAAAGTTTAGATATGCATTGATTTCTATTTCCCCCACATCTAATTTTTAGATGTTTTCTTTCTCAAGGGCCTCAGAACTTCTAAAAATTATACATCTTTATATATCACCAAGGCAGGTATCATAGTGGAAATATGTTATAACTCTGTCACAAAGCAAAATTTAAATTTCATTTTGAATTAGGTGTTTATGCCACTTTCTTTATAGTTACTATTCATTCACTCATTTCATTCTTTCCTTCCTTCAACAATTATTTACTGACTACCTACTATGTGCAAACAGAGTGAGCATCAGTCTTACTTGCTTTGCTTCTTCTTCACCAGGTACTTTTCTTTCCCTAGTCAATTCTTCTCAACTCTGTCCGCCCCAAATCCATTCACTAGTTACCTGGTAAAATAGCATATTGACTAATAGTTCATCCAGTTGGGAAGTACTGTTTCGCACTATAACCAAAGCACACACAATTTCCCTAGTTCACTGCCCAAAACTGCACATGCCTTTTTTTTTTTTTTTGAGGTTGAGGTACGGTTGATGTTTGATATTATCCAAGTTTCAGGTGTACAACATAGTGTTCACAATTTTTAAAGATTATATTCCATTTATAGTTATTATAAAATGTTGGCTATATTCTCTGTGTTATACAATATATCCTTGTAGCTTATTTATTTTATACATAGTAGTTTGTTTCTCTCCATATGCTTTTAACTCTTTGTGAGACTGGAAAATCAGTTAATCATTTGAAGCCATTATAATTCTAAGAAGGTGATGGAAAGCCAGTTCCTTTATTTATAAAGTAATAAATTCAAAAGATTCATATGAGATCTGATGCCAAGCTTATTTCAGTATTATATTAACTTCTTATAAAACCTCCTCACCTAAAGCCAATTCTATAAATTTTTCATTTGTGTGGTTACAAGAATCTAATCAAAAGGAAAACTACTCTTTCACTTCTTTTTGGTAAAGAGACTAACATGAATGGAAACGAAAAACTTAACATCTCTGGGATCTACATTTCTTGCTCTGACACCTTTAGTCACTTAACTATTATTAGAGTATCTTTATCAAAATAGTGTGATTTGTGCTAATAATGAGACTTTAAAAATGTTCTTCAGTAAGTCAATCTCAGAACTTGTTTTTAATATTTTTTAAGTGCTAAAGGAAAAAAACCAACTCATATATGGAAGTAGGAGGCAAAGTTATAAGCAATCACTGATCCAAATAAATAAGATACTATGAATATAACTTTAAAAAATTACAGCAATTTGTGTTTTCCTGTGTTCTCCATGTTTGCTGCACTAAATATTACTAATATTAGTAATACTAAATATTACTATTTCTGTAATTTTAACATGCTCTATCTATAAAGAAGAAAACATTGTAATAGTAGTTGACTAAGTAAAATAAGAATCCCACATTTTATTTTTATTTTGTGACATTTGTGGCTCTTCAGCATGAAGCTGGCATTTTTCCTCTTCTGATGTAACTTCCTTCTCTGTTTCATTTTGTTTTGGTCGGGGTTATTTCAACCTCTCCCTTCTCTGAGCGGTCTTTCAGCTGTCTGTGGGATCCCAAGCTGTCACTTTGCTTCCTGAATATCCACTTCTGTTTTCTGTGGCAACACCTGCAGATAAACATCTAGCCGGCCATCCAGGTGGACACACACCTCCACACTCTCAAATTCATACATACACAGACACAGGTATACGCATGCGTGCTCAACTCCTCCACCCTCCCCCAGGGAGCTCAAACTACTCTAGCTGTTTTTTGGCCTTGGCAACAAAAGCAGCAGCAAAGCTTCTAATGTCAGTTCTCTGATCAGAACCAGTAATAATAATGTTGTTGCTGCCAAGGAAGAACTTACGTCCCCTAGACCAAGGAGAAGACAACTCTATAGGGTAAAGATGGTAGAGCCAGATGCGTCGGGCTGCACACAGTGATCAGAGGGGGAGGAACAAGAGTTGGGGTTCCTCTACCTGAAGTGCTCTGCCTTCATTGTTGACAGCCATGTACTGATTTTTCAAGACTCGGCTCAAGTATCACCTCTTTCTGAAGCTTTTCCTGACTGGTTGACTGTCCTTTCCTCTGTTCCCATACAATCCTTGTTTGGTTAGATGCTTATCTTCTCCCCTATTCCCCCAAAACCCATTAGATTGAAACTTTTAAAGGCATGGACCTTGGCTGATTCATCTCAGTACCTGACACATAGCAGGCATTCAATAAATGTTGTATGGGTGAACAGGGTCCACTGCTCCCCTCCCATGGGTGAAAGTAGCAACTGACTTTTGGTGGAGGGGGAAAGAAAAGGTTGTCCTAATGGTGTGTTTTCTCCTCTTTAAAGTTAACATTGGAAGTAAAGAGGGCAGCGTGATGCTGTGAGGATGACCCTCCATGTGTGAAAATAACTGAGCAACGAGCAGAGCAGCTGTCTCATCATTGTCCCTATCACTGGGATTTCTTCAGGTGACCAATAGATAAGTCCAATCCTACTTACAAGGTAAGCCTTTGAAAACCTTGCAAGTGTGAATGAGAAGAAAGTGTTGTATCAAGGAAGGTTGTATTAGGAATGGGAAAATATGGCCCATATATGTTAAATTGATGAATATGATTCATGTTCCAGAGTAAAGTGTTGGAACATTTTAAATGTTTTAACATCAAGGAAGGGTAAGGATAAGACAGAACTGTGTTGGGTTCTTTACTTGCCTGATCTCATTTTAATCCTCACAAAGAGATCTTATTGTCTTTGTTTTATAAGTGAAGAAAGTGAGGCTTGGAATGGATTAAAACTGGGAAGCCACCTCAGTACTAATACTTAGCAGAGCTTAGATTAGAACCCAAATTTGTCTGACTCCAAAATCCTTCTTACTGTTGGTTCCTCTCAAGAGCTATTTTTTTAAAATTATTTTTTCTTTTTTTTTAAATTAAAAAAACTTTTTTTTCTTTCTAACTAAATTTTTTAAAATTATTTATTTATTTATTTTTGGCTGCGCTGGGTCTTTGTTGCTGTGTGTGGGCTTTTTCTCTAGTTGCGGAGAGCGGGGGCTACTCATCGTTGCAGTGCACGGCCTTCTCATTGTGGTGGCTTCTCTTGCTGCAGACTACGGGCTCTAGGTGCACAGGCTTCAGTAGTTGTGGCACTTGGGCTCTAGAGTTGACTTTAAGTTTTCAGAGAGGTTGAAAAATATATGTATTGAGCACTGACGATAGGCCACACACAAGGCAGGGCAGCATGAGGGTATAATAAACCATCCTCTGCTCAAGGAGCTGAGTAGCTAGTGCAGGAAGCTGACACATAAACATGGGCTGAACAATAGATGATGAAATCAGGGCTACTGTGAAGGGAGGTGTCACGAGCTGCTTGAGAACTGGGGGAAGGAGTGGTTGGTCCTGGTCACGCGTGGAGGGCGAGGAATGTTCTACAAAACACGGGAAGATGGCATTTTGAGGAGGCCAGGGAGGACTCAGCAAGCATTGGGGTGCTGCAGAGTAAGGAAGGGAACATATAACAGGAGTGGAGTGACAAGTTCAGTGAGGTCGGCGTACAGGGGTGTATGGTTGGAATAGTGGAGGGTGAAGGTTGGTTGGACCCAGACCGTGGAAGGCTTTGAATAGGAGTCTGAACTTGAAATGAAGAGTTACTGAAGGTTTTGAAATAGGGGAAGCCAAGGATCCAACCAAATCCTTGACTAAAACATCCGAAAGTATTGCTGAATCCATCCTGACACCAAATCACAAGTACAAAAAGTACACAAAACAGAAAAATATAGAAAATCAATATTCTTAATCAAGACTCAACAAAGTGGCCTGCTTACTTCTGCGGAAACAGCAGATGAAGGGATATGTGACTGAATCACCAGCTCAAACCCCACCTGCCCTCTTCCTTCTGCTTTGGCCAAAGGTGGTCCCGTTCTCTTGATTCCTAAGACTACCTCATCAACAAGAAGACCTGGGGCAACAAATACAATCCCTTCCTCCCCCCAAAAGGAAAAATTCCCACAGGGAAATGAAAATTCCCCTCACTTCCTTCCTTTCTTCAGAAGTCAGCCCGTGAAGATTGCTTAACTGTTCTGTCACCTCAATACACCAGACAAACATCCTAGAATGGGAACTGGATCCTGATGGCTTAATTGAGTTAAAAGGAAAAGGGTAGATCTTCTAAAAGCCTCTCAATGGTTTCAGAGTGCCTCTCACGTCTCTGAAAGCCCAGTGGTTGTTCTCAGTTCCTCAGCAAGAGTGAATGAATTTCCTAGCACAGAATTCAAAAGCACTGGAAGTCAGCAGTTCTGAAAGACTGCAGAAAGGTCTTGTTTACATTTTTCTCTTGGGCTGAAACCCATCTATTTAAACTTTAACTAGAGGCAATTATAAAACCGTGGCGAGGGACTATTTCCCTGGTGGTGCAGTGGTTAAGAATCCGCCTGCCAATGCAGGGGACATGGGTTCGAGCCCTGGTCCGGGAAGATCCCACATGTCACAGAGCAACGAAGCCCGTGTGCCAAAAGTACTGAGCCTGCACTCTAGAGCCTGAGAGCCACAACTACTGAGCCCGTGTGCCACAACTACTGAAGCCTGCGCGCCTAGAGCCCGTGTTCCGCGACAAGCCACCGAAATGAGATGCCCGCGCACCGCAACGAAGAGTGGCCCCTGCTCGCCGCAACTAGAGAAAGCCCACGCGCAGCAACGAAGACCCAACGCAGCCAAAAAATTAATTAATTAATTAAAAAATAAAAATAAAACCTTGATTAGCCGAAGATGGGCAGCCTGCACAAGATGGGGAGACAGATGCCAACAGACTGGCATTGAAGGAGGAAAGAGAGGGAATATTTTGAGAAAGGAGTCAAGGAAGAACTACAAAGAAGGTTTTGGAAACAAAAGGTATCACCTAGGAAGCTGCTTTTCAGGAGAATAGGGAGAGAAGTAGTGGGCGAGGGGAGGGAAGAAGGCAGGAGAGTGGGCAGGGAAGACAGGTAGGTGGGTAGGGCTAAGGTTGTCACGATCCCACCAGTTCACAAGTGCCACGCTGTAAGAGCTGATTGCTGTAGCTCCTACTCTTTATACCTTTTTTTTCCCTCTTGGGTCAAAAGTTCATTAACCCAGGGCATCAGTGGGTCTGAGAGGCCTGCCTGGAGCAGACATGCCCGGCTGCCAGGACACAGGCTCTCTTCCCCGAAGGCCAAGCCTCCTCTTCGATTCAGGTTTTCCTGGCAAAGACCCACCTTGGAGTTGATGAGCAGTCCAGTGACGTCAGAGGAAATACCCCACTTGACAAAGGACCCTGCTCCAGCTGCCAATAAACTGAACTCATTAGCATGCCCTGATCTGGGCCCTAAGATTTGGTGAGCCCGAAGAACAAACTCAGAGAGAAATAGCTGTTGCTCCAAAGTGAATGTTTTTATTCTGGATTTGAGGATGTCTGTGGACCTGACATTGACACTAGGGCCAGTTTTAGATGCATACACAAATATGGGGAGATCTACAAGACACAAGCACCCCACCACCACCCCATCAAGCTCTCTGTGTAGAGGAGCCTGACATTCTACCCCTAGATATTCACTCCTTTGAGTTTCCTAACTTTTTGGTTTTGAATGTCCTTATTAACATACAAATGCAATACACAGAAGAGAGCCCTTGTCTGAGATGTAATCAGCTAATTTTTTAGCAGGAATTCACTTTCCATCAATTCCATTCAGATTAGAACTAGGGCTCTGTGGGAGGAAGATCCAGACAAGCATCGTGGAGATGGAGAATGGGCAGAGGCCTCGGAAATTATAAGCAGGGAAGCTGGCAGGCATCACAGAAGATGCCAGAGACAACTGAGACCGGCACCTCAATATAAGTCAGCAGCTGAAAGCCAAGCTCATCTTAATGTTTTGTGAAACTTTCTTCTCTGCTAACCCAGCTCTTAGCAGGGAAAGCCATTTGGGGCACAGCCAGAGGATGACAGGGAAGGTCAGAGGATTTGCACATATTCAGGGCCTGGGCGGGGTCTCCCAGGGCACAGAGGCCAAGGTCGTGGGCTTCTCTCCAGACTAGCTTGCTACTCTCACAAGAAGATCTGTCCTACAGCTCTGAGCTGTACCCCCAAGTCCAGCCAACCATCTAAAAATATCATGATGCTGTTTGTAAGGGCCTGGGTGGAGAATGTGGGGATGGCTCCCTGCAAGCTCACTCTGATTCGGGACAGACAGATCCCAGGGTAAGATTCTTGCTTATGTGTGTGTGGGTATGAGGGGAGACTTCATAAGAGGACTATCGATATTTTATTGTATTAAACATACACTGAAATTTTATTTCTTAAAATTTGTATGAGTAGAAATTGCTTTTTTGCACCCTTATCCCTAGAGAGAGAAAGTCTGCTTCTGATGTCGTGTTCAGGAGGTAGCCTGTGAACGACTGCTAGCAGATATCCCAAGAGCTGCACAGAAATTTCAAAGGGATATACACATTGCCCAGCACCTACCAGAGGGTGTTATACCTTGGAGAAGATATTTTGTAAAATCACACATGAGATTTTCAAGGGAAATCCTGGGGGACCGTACATAAAACCAGACAGGAAACATAGTATAGTGGTAAAAAACACAGATTCGGGAGCCAGGCTGGCTGGGTTCAGATCCTGCCAGTACCACTTAGCTCTGTGACCTTGGACAAGTCACTTAACCTCTGTGGGCCTTAGTTTTCTTATCCATAAAATTCAGATAATAGTAGTTCTCAGTTCACAGGGTTGTTATAAGGATTAAATAAGTTAATATTTAAAGGGTTAAATAAGTTAATATTTAAAAGCACTTAGAACAGTGTTTGTCATAGCAAGAACTATTTAAGTGTTACATATGAAAAGTAACAAATCAAATCTCCAGGCCTGGAAACCTCACTTGGTTCTATGATTGACCCTGTCTCCAAGAAGGCCTTTGGTTGGCTCTGGCCTGCACTTAACCTCCCACCATACCAGCATGAGGAGACAGAAGAAAGATACCCTGGAACCTTTCACCTCCAGGCTTCCCCTCAAGCACTAGGCAAGGCACTTGTGTCCTACTCTGAAGCCTCGCAATGTGCATGCCCAGGGCTGAGGCCAAGCCAGAACCACCAACGGGGAGCTCTGTCTGGTGCCTGGGCCAGAAATGGGAGTTCCTCATTGCAAACCCCTCAAGCCCTTGGCAGGCTCCTTGCTTGTGCTGTCACTAAATGCTGCCCCAAGCCAGGGTTACAGAACACAAGGAAAAGCCCTAATTGAGAAAGGCAGAAAAGGAGAGAAACGAGCAGGTGGCAGGAAGAAGGATCAGGGCAAGAGGAGACCTAACACACACGGAAAAAAGTAGAAAAGCTCTAGTAAGTGCAAGGAAACTTTTTTTGTCTATTTTTGATCAAGTGAAAAACACAAGCACAAGAGAATAAACTGAGCAACTAGAATCAGACTGAGCCAGTGAAGGGAGGGAAGAGGCAGCAGAACTGCAAATACATGCTAATTACCTCACCCTTCCTCAGGGACCTGCAAGCATGGCC